TCTCACTATTATTATGCATATCAAGCATGCTGATATAATACAATATATGAAAAACATATCCCATCGACATAATACAATATATTAAAAGTTTTCTTTTAAAAAAATGCCATTTTTTTAAAAATAGTTTAAAATATTCTATAACCAAACTCAACCATCACAACCTGCAACATGCAAATTCCTTTCTTATTAAAAAGCAGCTGTGAAGCTGCTGAAAAATAATCTAATGTTCAAAAAGCTACCGTGCTATTAATTTTTTTTTTTTGAAAAAGTCAGATTGAGGCTAGAAAGTTGCCATTGCATCTAGCCAGGACAGGCAGGAAAACACAGAACAGCTTTTTGAAAAAGTTGTCAAAATGCAGTTTACCCAAACATACAAAACTACGCTACAGTGTCGCACCGCCACCGCACCGATGCCCAAAACAGGCCCTTAGAATTGTTGGGATTATAAAAACCTTAGTTGATCAAGCACAATTTTTATATGGAGCATGAATCCCAATGTGCCTTAAAAGACCTACCAAAGTCTAATTTAGCTTAATTTGATTGAACAAATGCCCAAATGAGCCTAAAAGGACTCAATAGACCTCTAAACAAACTTCATGGTGTCAACCAAATTTCATACACACTTGGACATTTAGACTGATGTAATTGTGGCACAAAAGGCCTAATATAATTCAAAACTAACATTGACCAGATCAATTAGGTATATATGTGTCCTTTCTCCTCTTCACAAAAGCCAATATCTGCGCAAAAAGTAAGAATAAGTACTGGCTTGCACACCAAACAATTATTTTGGTGTGTATATTCATAGAATTCTAACAAATTCAATGATTTCCGTCTTCACATTTTTTGCAAGGTATCATCGCAAATATCTCAGAAACCACTACCACTATTGAGATCATTACATTGCCATATAAATGCTTACATTTTTTTTATTGCTTAATTATAGATGAAGGTACTAATTTTCACCACTGTCGGCACTTGACGTAACCCGATTCAAGGGCATGTTCATTGGAACAACTAAAGGCCAAACATACAATCCTATTCCGCCTAAATTATTATGGTAGTGACAATGGTCACCTTTGTTCGTTCTAGATAAACAAAAGTCATAATATGAACATCCCTAATTTTACCCTAGGAAGTATAGAAATGCTCCTACTGCTTACCACAGAGCATTGGTTCAAGTGGCATATTCTTTGGTTTCTAACCTAAATGTCTCAATCACAAATCTCAAGAAACATAGCTTTGAAGAAGTTATTAAAATCTATGTAGGTCTAATATTTGTAATTGACTTTGTGCCCACCTTATATTTGCAATCGGTACTTTGCCCCCATTATATCTATATTGGCCTTAAGTCCGCCTAATGAAAATGTGGAATAAATTTATCTCTTTTGAAATAAAATTTGACTCCTCAACTCATTGGGATGTGTCTAACTGAAAATTAAAAGGTGTTATTAAAGCTTGGAAAAAATAAAAACCTCGGAATCTTCATCCCTTCATTGTATTCTATCCAATAGGATCCTACCTTTATAAGAGGTTCCGTTACTAAAATTTACAAAAATTTTGTTATTGAAACATTGTTGCAAATAATCTAAAATTCTAGCAATTTGGTTAGAACCGACACTCTATTAAATTGAACAAATTTCATCCAATGGAGACTAACTTGGCCAACCTACCCAACACTGTTTCATTCGTCCACATTTGCATTTTGATGATCAACAAAACCATTACCTCAATGACATCATTCATGGAGAACTAGTCAGCGAACCAATTGGACATTATCATGACATCATTATGATTGCCTTTGCTGACATAAATGTTGGTATTTCTCAGAGGTTGACCTGCCTTAGTTAATTATTGTTGTTCACGTCCCTAAAGTATCAGCTTGATGAAAACTTTCAAATCATACTCTTTCGTTGATAATCTTGTATTGATGTACTCAAAAAGTTCAAAGGGGGATTCAAATCTATACTTTGTTTATTAACAGTGAAAATTTTGCATAAACATTGCACACTTATGGATTTGCATCATTGGACATTCCTAAACTAAGGCAATTACATCCGCTCTTGCTCTATAGAAACATTTCTGACACACAATCAAACAGTTTGGTGTAGATTAACTGCAATTTGAGAAAATATTTCACCTTTTATCGTGGCAGAAATAACCCCAAAAGCTAATCCAAATTAGCATAACAAATCTAGCTTCCCAGAGATATCAAGAATTAACAAAACTACAATTCAATGATTGGAGACCAACTAATCCACTGTTACCACACCATAAATATTCCACAAACTAATTTTAAGTGTACCCCAGACTAGTAACCGCATAAATTTCAGCTTTCATAAGCAAAATAAGCACGTAATGCTTGATTACTTGATAAATTCATAACTTAAGAGTAGGGCTATCAAAACGGCTCGTTGTTCGCGAACAACTCGTGTTCGGCTCCTTAAGAAGCTCGTGTTCGGCTCATTCACTAAGTTAACGAGCCGGACACGAATTGTTCTTTCGTGTTCGGCTCGTTTTGGCTCAAAATACTACTAATTGATTATATATATATCTTTGATGAGTAGTATTTTTTAACAAAATTAATTGACTAAAAGGCTACAAAGATTTATAATCAATTAAAAGTATTAATGAAAAAAAAATATAATAAAAACTATTAAATTAAATTCAAATGTGTTTTAAATCTTGCTCCAATCCTTAACATCTTATGGCTACGTGATTAGAGTTGTCAAAATGACTCTTTGTTCGTGAACGGCTCACGGCTCGTGTTCTGCTCGCTAAGTAAATCTCGCTAAGTAAATGAGCCGAACCGGGCCACACTTTTTGAGCTCGAAATATAAACGAGCTGAACACGAGCTGAGCCTGGGCTCGCTCATGTGTTTGACTCATTTACACCCCTACTTAAGAGCTCAGAAAATTTTCTAAAACCAGGTAGAAAGTAGCATTGATTAAAAATTATTCTTATCATCCACTTGACTATGACCGTGATAGGGTTGGTGTAGCTCCTGTGACGGGCAAAATTAGAGAAAGTTGTCTTAGATGGTTTGGTCACATTAAACGTCGACCATTTGATGAGCCGATTAGGAGAGTAAATGTTTTAGATTCGACTTATGTTAAGAAGGCAGAGGTAGACCTAGGAAGACTTAGGCTTATTATATAATAAATGATCTTAATTGATTAGAACTAAATGAAAATATGACACTAAATAGGACGCAATGGAGAAAAAGGATTCATGTAGCTGACCCCACGTAGTGGGATTAAGGCTTTGTTGTTGTTGTATCCACTTGACTATGGCCCTAAGAACTAGTTTCTGCCGAGTTTCAAAACTTCATTACATATTGAATCTTTACACAAGAAAAAAAACAAAGATTTAGTGAATAAAAATGCAAGAGATTGGAGAAATGGTAAGAGGAGAGTTCAGCTAGGAGAGACATTAATGACTAAGGATCCATAATAGAATATCTAGACAAATTGCTCCACTAAGTTTTCACAAGAATCGATGTAAACCATAGTAACAAATGAGCGGAAACTCAAATGAGAAAGGGTAAGAGCGCAATGGACGAGAGCAACAAAGGAGAAGACTTCAAAGGCTTTTGGATTTGAAAAAAGAGGGGTACAATGAATGTGTATGATTGCCCACTCAAGGTTTATAAACCAAGACATTTATGGCCTTCTCCAGTCAATATAGCCCAAAAAAAAGATTTATATACATGCCAAATGTTATCACAAATATCTTTTATAATTGTGCAATTAGTAAGTGAAGTAGTAATTTGGACTGCCACCATCTACAACGACAAGCGGACATCCCAAATAATTGTTTCAATCACTACTTTTATTTGGTTTTTAGAAAGAGTCGACGAGACCCTCAAACTTTTCCCATTGATTCGTGAAAAAAAAATCAAAAAATAGCAACCACTAATAAGATCATAACCACCACATGACTATATTTTTTGATTGCTTAATTCTAGAAGAAGATACTAATTGTCACTATTATCAACTACCTTACACAACCCAAACCTAAGTGCCAAGTACATACGATCCTATTCTACATAAAATCTTATAACTAAGTGGACAAGATCAGCATTGTTCATTCAAAATAAATAACTCATAATATGCACCCTAGAAGTTCATAAATGCACACATTGCATGCCAAAGGGTATAACCTCAAGCAGAATTCTCTTTGGCTTCTAACCAAGATCTCAGTCACAATCTGAGAGGATATAGTTGTAATTAATTTCTCTAGTTCCAAGTAAACTTACAAGTTATTTTTTGTTAAACAAAATGCAGTGTAAGTGAAATGTAGTGTTTAAATAAAAAAGTTTAGGATTGTAAGTAAAGCAAACAAAAAAAATTGGTATTACTTAAGGGCTGGCATGACTTAGTTTATAATTGGTGTCAATTTCTTCACCCTCAAGCACACACTTGATGGAAACTTTCAAACCAATCTCTTCTATTGATAATCATTAATTAATTTCCTTCAACTATTCAAATGGGGATTCAAACCTATACTAACATATAGTTGATAGTAAAAATTTTGCATATATGCTATACCCCAATGAGTTTATTCCCTCTGGTTTTCCTCATAAAAATTTCACCACTCATAATTTTCGATATAGGCCAGACCCAAACGATTTTTTTTCCTTTGGCTTTCCTCATAAAAAACTTCACCACCCTTATTGTATTGCATGCTTAAGATGATCATATCCTCTCCCTTTGTAGGAACATTTCCGCACACAACAAAAATTATCAAACAATCAGATGTAGATTAAGTAATAGCTACAAAGGATTTATAATCTGAGCCAATCTTCATTAATCCAAATTAATACTGCTTTATATCTGGAAAAACTGTAAAAAAACTTGCTATACATCTTTTCAACGATCATAAATGCTCATAAGGGGTGTAAAGCGAGACCGGCTTAGCCTATTACAGAACAACACAAATATTTAGGAAAATTTTTAAAACAAAATAAAAAGTCGCCAGCAATGAAAATCATACTCACCACCCGATTGTCAGTAACCTTAAGAACCAGCTTCCCGTCGCAGTGTCGATACTTCATCACATACCGAGTCTTAAAGCAAGCCAAAAAAAAATCAAAGATCAAGCGAATCAGAAAAACGAGAGAATGGAGAAGAAGTGGTCAGATGATGAGAACTGGGATAGGAAAGACATTACAGAATGGGGATCGTCGCGGAATATTTGTACAGATCGCTCCACGAAATCATCCCAAGAATCGATGTAAACCATAGCAGCGAATGAACGCAAATGCGAGCAAGAGCGAGATAGACGAAGACGAGGTTGAAGGAGAAGAAGACTTCGAACGCCTCCCGGCTCAGAAAGGCGGCGACCACGGTGGAGAACCGATTAGAAATCGGAAATTTTTATTATTTTTAAAGTGCAATCAGCCATACTCTAATTACAGGAGTATTTTTGAAAAACACCCGTATAGTTTGGATCTCGCGTTTAACCCGCTTATTAGAAAATATAGTTGTATTTTTATACTAAACACAATCTGCTGATAAACTGCTTATCCTAACACATAAGTTGTCCCAAACGCACCCTAAAGCTTTTAAAATAATTATGATAAATAAATAATCAATTAATTCATGTATTAGGCTTAAATAAATTTAAATATTTTGTTCTTTTAATTGCATCTAAAATAAAACTTTAAATAACATATTGCAATTTTTTTTCAATTAGAGTCTCTTTGAGGCAGCGTAACTTTTTGAATAAACAACTCCTTGAGAAGCTATGAGACGATCATAATTTTTTTTCTCTAAAAGTTGTACAGTAGCTTTCTAGCAGCCATCATAATTGATCAATTCAGATTTCAAGCAAAATTCGATGTCGCAGTAAAAAAACATTTCGATGTCGCAGTTCAGTATAGTTAATGAGCATCCTAAGTTCAGTATAGTTAATGAGCATCCTACTCAAACATTGAAACATATTATATATATATATATATATATATATATATATATATATAT